CGAAGCGCAGCAAATTGAAACTAGCAAAAACAATATGGTAAGTCACGGCTCCCATTATATACATCGCACCGCCCTACAGCTATTCCTCTGAAATAAGGCGTTATGTAATAAGGCTTGCAATAAGGCGTTATATGGTATGTGATTGGAAAGTTGCTCCTATCCGAACTATGTTCGATAGTATTCGCTTTTGGGCCAAATCCTAATGGTGCACCAAATTTCATCAAAACACCTCAAAGATTACGTTTTGTAGGTTGAACAGAAGGAAATAAGACGGACAGCCGGACAGATAAGCTTAGAATAAAAGATAAACCTATATCAAGTCTTTTTAAGTGTCACATCCTTCTAAGTGCATATATCCTACAAAATTAACATACCCTTGTACCATAAGTAGTGAAGATTATAAGAAAGCGGAAGTTATTTATGATTCGGCCTAATACTTTAATTTAAACTTTACTAAGAGCCGTATACGTGATAACTACGAACATTTTATTATTTTCTTAATAAACTTTAACTTGATTACGATAAGTTAATGATTTCGGATTTTCGAGCTGACAGCTAAAAAAGATAAGATAAGACTAGATAAGAATAAAGAAAAGCTCATGCAGACGAAAACGCGGAAGTAAGTGCACATATACGGATAAACGCACACAAGAACGCACACGGACGTGCACGTCCGTACGCACGCAAAAGCGGATGCTGCTGCATGGATAAAGTGAACATATGGATAAACGCGCGCCCGGGTAGACGTACGATATGCGCGCAAAAATAGGTGCTTGCAGCGACAGACAGTCATAACGTCATGCGGACGCAAGAAATATGGTCAGCAAATACACACACAGCGAAACGCTAACGAAGGCATTTATGAAAGCAAGTATGAACACATGCATATTCGGACTAACGCAGATATATTTGGTACGCATGGAAAAAAAGATGTGCGGACAGATGGATATAGCACGAGCAGACACACAATAAATAGATGCAGAAATGGAGAGATGCAAATGTTATTTTTATTGAATAATAATTCCTTTTTTTTATAAGAAGGAGAAAGAGGAATGGAGGAAAGTATCAAAATAAACATTTTCTCTTTTTAACTTGTTATACGAACTTCCTTTAGTGTGCTATACGAACACGAACGCTACTTCTTCGCTGTATTACGCGAGCCCGCCTTATATTAACGCCTGCTGCAAGGAAATCCGCTGTACTTACGTTGGCAAGCTTTGGATGGTTTACGTGAGATCCATGAGGGCAATTGTTGAATGAAGTGCAGAGAATAAATCAATAAATTATGAAATTCATCGTATTTGGATCACAATGTTGCAAGACTTATCTTTAGGAATTTATAAATTAAATATCGGAAAGAGAAATTGATAATAAACCTTCGCAAGTTCGTTCATTTATAAAAAAAAGAGATTGTTTTCGTCTGTGAACGAATCTTTTATGCCAACCACCACCATCTTAAAAAATGAACTAAGCCAAACAAAAAAAAAAAAATAGCAATTTTCATACTGTATAATATTAGATGGACGGACTTTTTCCGTGTCCTTTGGCCGATTGAATCCATTCGCTATACTGAACGTTGTGAAACATCTTCTAATATTTTCGCCAGCCTTACGCTACCTATATGCAATTAACCATTAGATGGAAAGGTAGACTGACGGATTGCGTTAAATTGGGTTAGAGTTTCATACTGATCGAGAATATCTATTTTTTAAACCTTCTTTTCGGGTATTGCAAACTTTTTGGGAAAATGACTACTTATCCCATCCTTCGGTAATAGACATAAAAAGAAATAAAAACATATATATATACATACAGTGAAAGCTCCTTATTCGCGGGGGATACGTTCCATAAAAATGCCGCGAATATGGAAACCGTGAATACGGAATGGTAATTTGTGACAAAATAAAAAAAGAAACCGTGAATATGGAATGGTATATTATATGGGATTATAGGGGATACGTTCCTAGGTGACAAAATAAAAAAAATCAATTTAATTGAAGTTTTTGAACATTTTGATCAACTATCTTAAGGCTTAGGCAATGGTTTAAAGAATTTTGTAAGTTTCTCTTGCTTGGCAGTTTTTAAAAGCTCCTTCAATTCAGACTGATACGCAGCAGTCGCATTAGCGATTTGCCTCATAAATATAAGACTTTGTTCCATAGACGGATCGATATTCATAAAGAAATCGTCAAGCTCATTTGCCATTCTTAAACCTTCACTTTTCCCAGACTTTTCAAATTAAATGTCACGTTAACATTTCCTCCAAGTCGGTTTCAGTCAAATCTTTACCTCGCGATTCAAGCAATTCCTGAATGTCATTTGGCTTTATCTGTTCGAACTCATCTCGTCCTATACCATGCTATGTTTGCAGTCAAAGTTGGAACTTGCCCAGATACATTGTCATTTTCCGCAGTCAGAGCAGGCCACAGTTTTTTCCAGCATGACTTCAATGTGCGTGGCTTCAGTTCTTCCAATCATTCTTTTATGTTTACGATGCATTTTGCTATGTCAAATTTCTTCCTGCATTCCATAACATTCATATCAGGATTACATTCCATATTATCCAATATGATTTTGAAGGTTCGTCTAATGTAATAGAGCTTAAACGCTTGGATTATTCCTTGGTCCATAGGTTGAAGCAAAGCCGTCGTGTTGGAAGGTAAAATTGTCACTTTTATGTTTGAAAGCATAGTTTCAAGTTCGCGAGAATGACCTGGTGCATTGTCCAAAACTAGAAGTGCTTTAAAGTATAAATTCCGTTTTTTTAAATAAGTTTCAACTTCAGAAACAAAACAATTCCGGAACCAGTCACAAAATATCCGCGAATAAAGATATTTATAGCCACGAATATGGGAATTTGGTCGCCCTTTTTTTCATCAGCGAATAGAGAAACCGCGAATAAAGGAAGCGCGAATAAGGAGCTTTTACTGTATACTGGAACTTCGATACCAGAAGCGATTTTATCCTATCATGTCGATAATATATTTTAAAACCTAGTACATAAAGCATAAAAATAAAGGTGAAAAAAGCTGAAATGTAACGAATAGATGATCTTTAGGTTTATATGTATTTGACATGCACGTGGTGTATAAGTAATACATACATATAAAGGTAATATATGCATGTCCATGTTATACATTTGCGGTTGTGTGACACATGCAATGTAACAGTATTTCAGTGTCTTTTTTTTGTATTGTCTCAAATCCAGTTTTACAATATACATCGAACTTTGCCTGATAGTTGTTTTTCCAGTTGATTTTCTTTTCCTACAGTAACAAAGGCAATTTGGAGCCTTGCGCTATTTGCAGTCATCAAATAAAAGCTACGCTGCCTAAAGTTTCGCTAACAACAAGCAGAGGAAATAACATGAAATCTATTAGAGTGGCTTTGTTTAAAGTAAATTTTCCAAATCTACACAAATGGGAAAATATATATTTATATTACAGGCACCCTCACAGGTTATATTTTTTATTTTTTTTAGATAAAATACGTTTTCGAAATTTAACGTTTGCTTTTAAAGGCAGTCAGTATAAAGCCAACTATGTCACATAAAATTCAAGCTCAGTCCCAAAAAGAAAAACTTATGCAAAATTATAACAAATTAAAACAATGATCACACCTTGTTGTCAAATAAAGGCTTAATTTTTCGTATTTTTTCATTTATAGGCTAACTAACTTTTTGTAACATAGATTAACCTTACTCCGAACCAATTTTCACCAAAAAGTACATCTAGTTACCATAAAAATGATTATTTTTTATAAGACCGTTTATAAGGGAGTGCGTTGAAGTTTGATCGGTTCACATAGTGAACAAAAATATTATTCTTCACCAATTTTGTTGAAATATTTAATTTTTTGTGAAGAGAAAAGTTTTTTCATGTAAGGAGTTTTTTAGAGCAGAGCTTTACATATCTAGAGCGATCTAATTCATTTTCAATGGCATTCAATCTTGGGCGAAAACAGGTCAATGGACGAAATTTTATCATTTGTGTTAATTGCGACCTTTATATTGAAAGCATTTCAAATGGGTGACTTAAAAGATGAACAGATGAGTAAACGAAGGAATGTGTAGATGGTGAATGGGTAAATGGACAGACGTGCTTAAGAGCGATATAGAAAATAATTTTAAATTGGTTGATGCAATGAGCGATAAGCCTGTCTCAAACCTTCTTATATAAACATTTACGCATATAACCCATTACTCGGGGGATGTCTCCTATTCGCATATCACTGTAATGGTCAGAAAGAAGTCAGCAAAAAAATAAGAGGTATTCGCAAAATAATGGGGTTGTAGCTAATTGACCAATTGCTTCGTTCGGTTAGAAACTTGCTTCAATTTCTTGCCAAGTTCCGACCTTGCAAAACCTACCATTTAACCGAAATGAAGATAGCCCACCAAGATAGCCTGCTTATTTAAAGGTTTGTGTATTCACTAAAAATGTCGGGAAGTAAAAAACAAATACAATAAGTATTAAAATTAAAAAGTATTAGAAAGCAAGCACATATAAAACAAACTACACACAAACACAAAATGGGCCAAATTGATTAGAGCACAAGCCCGCAACTCCGTTTTCCTTAACAAAAATTTGTGGGTTTTTGCTAGTTACTGAGAAAATCTAAAATTAAGAAGGCTCATATTTCCCACGTTTACTTTAAGGAGCACTCCACCCTTTCTGTGCAAAAACGAAAAAAATCGGCCATGCCCACATAAAGTTAGAAGAGATTATATTGTACTTTTTCACTCTTTCGAGCTTTCATGGTTATTTATCATAAGGCAAACAAGGCAGAATGTTTAAAACTATTTTGCAGATTACTCAAATTAAGATATGTTATCTGCTTAAAAATGAGTTGATTCTAAAATGAAAATGGTAGACACCGCGTTCGATTTTTCCTTAATAACACCAGCGATATGCGCACCAAACAAAAAAACTTGGGTTGGTTCGAAATTCTTTCTTACTTATTATTTTTCTCGAGAAGTATTTATTTATTCAGCAATACCTATCTCGTAGCGTAAATTTAACTTAAGGGACGATTTGCAAATCGTATTCGTCATTATTGTGCGGTGAAAATTGAAATTGTTCACTTTTGTATGTATGTATATAAGTGAAGTGGCGACAGTTAGGCTTCTTTATTTTATTTTATTTTTTTCACTATTCCTACTTTTTCTTCGTAGTTATTTTGTTTATTTGACATTCGAAATATGCAAAAAGCCAAAATCCTGATTGCTACCAATTAAAAATGTCCATACTAACAATTTCAACTAAAAAAATCTGTTGTTAAATAGATTTTTCCAAAAGCCGTAGGCATACCTCATGCACTCCATCAATAAATCTCAATCACAGTAGTACTCAGATCAGGCTAAATCAGCCGACCGACGAAATTCAGGAAATAATAGTTTATGTTAAGAATTCAAAGCAATAAACCGAAACGAATTTGCGCGGTTGATAAATTGCATATATAATTGCGTCCATATACATCGCTGAGCATATGTGCAAATGTACTTATCCACGTGTGTTGTATGGAATTGTAAGTACCTTACAATACGTATATAATGTTTTGTGTTTTATTGGTGGTATGTTTGTTTATTTACTGGAAGCACCATCCACCGCTAAGCACTAGTCAAGCAACCAGTCAGCTGGTCAGCTAGCCGGCCATCTAGTCAGCTACGGAGATATCGCTCTGGTGAAAATCCTAATTGCTGATTTACAATTTGTGTTCACAAATTTATTGCTTCACACCAGACACAATTTGCGCAGCAAAAATATCGCTTGAAAAAAATTAAAAAATAAAACGAAAACTTTATATTAGTTATTTTTATTTATTTCTTTTTTATTTTTTCTTTTATTTTTCTTGTTCCTGTTTTGTTTGGTCCGACAAAGAGAATTTAAAATGTTGATCTGTCATGCTATATTTCTTCAGAATCCATACTACGCAGAGGATGTATGTAATGTCCAGTTGTCTGTCTGTCTGTCGGCTTGTTTCTCTCTACATTTTTTTTGTTCATTTTTTGCACTTTGCAATGTTCGAAACGAAGAACTTATGTATCTATCCGGGTGTAGAATAGATGTAGGTACTCTTAAAGTGTCTGTAATGAAGATTTAGTGTTAACTGCAACTATTGCGATTTTCCTTTTTTTTTTTGTTATTGCTTTGGCGCTTCGAGAAACTCAATAAGTTGTTCAAGTACTTATATTATATTATTATATTTATTCTCCAAAACGTTTATTTCGTAAATGTGCATAAAAACACATAGTGATTTCCACATTTATTTTCTATATATTTACGCTCTGAGACATGTATATGCTTATATAAAGAAATCCCTTGAATAAGCTGTATGACCACTACGAAAAGACAGGTGTGCATTAGTTGCGTCATTACGTTTAAACTAATAAAGGGTTAACATTCAGAAGACGATCAAACTCGACCGACTCTTCGTCCATTGGCCATAGTGTTCGCTCGTTTAATAGTTCATCATTTGCCTCTTAATCCAAAAAATGGTCACAAAACTGCAATAAAAAATTGAAACTTGATCCAAATATGCTTGATCAAAACTTAGTCGGAAATTTGAATGTCTGTATCTTGGACGGCTCATTTCCATCTAGCATCTCTCTCTCTCTGATGAGAATCTTCCAAATACTTAAAATATTGTTTTATTCATCGAAATATTTTCGAATTATTTAAACAAGAAAAAAAATATTTGCTGATGCAAGTTCGTAATTCCTAAAGAAACTATCAAATGTGTAAATAGCTCAGTTACTGTTTCCAAACGGTGTAAACTCCTTAACACATCTCCATCCCCAATTTTGTCCTTATTAGATTCTTTCTGTCCAAAATAGGTAGTTCTTTCCGACTGCGGGATTGCAAAAAAATGTTGCGGTATAATAGCACACATTTTGTAGAAGGGCTTAAGTTTGATATCGTGGCCAACTCCAAGTCCGTAAATCTTCTCTTTTTGCAGTCTTATTCGTTAATTTCAAGTATAGTAAAGAAAAACTTTGGGAAATGCTAATCAAAAAATTCAAGCTTAAACCTGAAATGAGCATCAAAGACTCATCACGTGCGGATTAGCGCGAATAATGAAAATATGCATATCTTACCATATCTTTAAAGATGCACGTGGAAGCGCTATTTACTCATTTGTCGACGACAGCGCCTCATCATCCATTTTCTCTCAACGGAGCAACTTGTAATACCGACCGACAAAATAAGAGACGCATCGCTTGGCAAGCTAAATTCTGCAAAAGAATTATCAGAATCATATGACAACAGCGGATCTTCTTTTCTTCTCCGTTGCCTAAGGTTTCTTGTTCCTCGTATTCTTCATCAAGTTGTATGTCAGTAAAGGTGGGTGATGTGGCTCTTATTGGCTTTCCAGATCAAGGAGGTTGAGAACGAATACTTGCTTTATGCACCCAACTATTATAAAAGCAACAAACTTACGAAATTTTATAAATGGCGGTATAATACCGTCTAAGAGATCATCATAGTCGCTGTCGGTATCATCATCCTTAATCGCATAATTGGCCATATCATTAGACCAAGTGCCAATTTCAATAAATGCTCCGCATTCTTCTTTCAATTTAAGTCCCGCGTCTTCTACAATCTCATTTATGGTTTTGCTTTCAATTTTTATTTCACTCTCCTCTCCGTTTAAAGTAAAGGCATGTACTTTCTTCCCGCAATCTTTTATAATTTGATCGAGACTATCTTCCTGCTTGGTTTTTGCAGATTCGTTAATTTTCGATTTTTCCAAAACGTCACTTAAGCTCCAACCGAAATCGAGCATAGGCGAATCCTGGTCTTCCGGTAATTCCGGTTGCCCTAAACCAATGTCGGCTACGACTTTCTTACGTATATTGTCAGCAAGCAATAATCCGTTAATACGGTACAAAATACATGGCAAACAAACTGCCGTACGCCATAAAGAGGCCGGAAATGGATGTACTGTACACAGTTCAGGCACCAATATTTGCTTCAATTCCAAATTTTCGCGTTTAGCTCGTTTGGTAGCTTCGGAACTAGTAGGTAAGGCGACACCTTTTCGATTTACATAACGCAGCCGAAAGAGAGTTACCAAATGGACAAAGCTGTAACGACAATAAAACGCAACACTATCTCTGATCGCAGATAGAGGCCATTAGACTAGTCGTTCCTTTAGAGTGTAAAAACGGCAACAGTTTCAGTGTTCTGAACATGCGAAAGCACGCCCGTTAGAGATAATATTTTATGGAGAGAATATTTTCTCAAACGATTTAAAAAAATACTTCTATGTGACACTGACATTAATGCTAGAAATATAGACGCAAATTTTTACGGTCGTATAAGCGCATAGCAGCTTCGCAGTTCTATAAAATAAAGTCTTTCTTTGAGTGCGACTAAGATTAGAGAACAATTTACATGTAAGGGCGGGAGCGTCCGGATTTTGTTTTTCAATCATTATTTACTAAGGGCTGAGATAGCAAAAGACGGCGACATTATGTTTATTACTCAGCATTCTTAAACGTGGGTATAACGTAGACTGTGCTGTGCGTATGTATAGGAAAGTGTACTACAAAGATAAAGGAGATTCCTTGATCAATCATTTCCTTTAACACGATTACTCATCCCCCGGCTCTTTCTGTTCATCCTGACACGAAACTCTACGACAGATCCTCACCAGCCTTTGGAAGGATATGTCCGCAGTACATTTTCAAGTCGGACATAAGTTCTACTTTCTATAACACTACTGTACCTATAGTTATATATAGGTCTTGAGGCCTTTCTCTAGGGAGTACATTTTCTAAAATTTATTCGTTCCAATTATTCAATTGTTCGTATTCATCCTTGATGATAATATTCGATTCCATTTATAGATTTTCGGTTTCACAATCCGTAGTTATAAGTTATATATATAATATATATTATGAGAAGCCAAAGTCGTCCCTCGTTTTGGCCTCACAATTTCTCCGTCTCTGGTGGGGGAAGAGTGGGCTCCTAGTTAAGAATACGGGAGAGACCCTGCAAAATGTAGGCTATAAAACCCAGGAAAGTAAACAATTAGATCAAGGAATACACTGTAGCAGTTTCAGTTTCCAGCGATAACCAAATCATGCTGCCTAAGATCGTGAAAGAGGTGAACCAATTTTATTGTTTGGCGCTGGGGAACTTGAACCTTTCTGCAGATTACGGCCGTGCGAGATTTCCGAACCAGAAGCAAATTACAAAATGGGTCGTAAGAATGAAGATTATAATATTTATATTCGTTTATTAAGGTAGAATTGTAATCGTCTTGAAATTGCATATATAGGCGTAGGTGCAGAGAGTATTTGCTGTATTTTGAGTGACTGAGAAAAACATAATTACTGTACATGCTTCAATACTACTGGAATAGTAACTCAAAAAGCAATCCTATCTTCTAGTAAATTCACTTCGTTTTTTATCAAGTTTTTGAAAAAAAAAAATTCGGTATTTGATAGGAACGAAAATTTTTTGTTTTGCAAAGATTTTAATTAGCTGAAGAGAGAATCTTTAATAATGTTGACGGCTTGTGTTGATGAGCTCCCTAATCCCCATAAAAACTGCATAAAAGAATTATTGGATAGTATGGTTTGCTACTATTATGATTACCAACGCATTAACGTTGAATTAAAAAATTTACGGCAAGAATTTAAAAAGGAAGTTAATGAAGTTGCCTATCAGTACACGGAAAGGCGAAAATTCGCCTGTGCCTCTCGGGAGACGTTAGAAGCTTTCGAAAAAAAAGTTGAATCAATCGATTTGACTGTGGAATGTTTCAATAAACGTATCGCTGAGATGAAGGAGAAACGTGCCGAGGTTCTACGCAATTCGAAAAAGTGTCTAACGAATCTGCGCTTAGAAAAATGCAAGCTGAAACATTTCCACGAGAGAACGATTGATTACTTGAAGAAACATTCGGTAAGCACCGAAGATCCTAAAGTGAAGCAGAGATGTGAAAAAGACATTAACGAAATGAATAGGCAATTCGTTAAAGAGGTAGCTTATATTAAAAAATGCGATGATGTGTTATTACCCTTTATGAAATTGCTGCACGATTGTGATAACACATTAATTTGTGATTGCTATTTCCAAGGTTATGATTGGCTTCCATGCGGTAAATCCATTTGCTCTCAAAATATAACAAAATTAATGTTCTTTTTTTTTTTGGTTAAGGTGAAGGGGCACCAATCATTGAAGAAGTAGAGGGAGAAATTAAGTGCGTAATGGGTAGCACTCTGATCAAAGCATTTTCCAATTGTTACATCCACCATCCATCCGATGAAAAAAGCTTCTTATCTGCCTATCTGATGAATTTGCAACATAGCGAAGATATTATGAAAGCAAAGTTGAAACTTTTCGAATTACGCAAATAATATATTTTTTTTTACACACCAATAAGTACCACACAACATATATTTTCCCTCGTAAATATTTCAATTTTATGCAAATAAAGAAAATTTTAGTTTGTATCCCATTTTACTACTAATAGCACCACGAGTTATCGTGCAGGCATTTGTAGTAAAACCAACGCGTCAACCAAGCATTCCGTTTGGTCATATTTTGTACTTCTGCTTCAATATCAAAGTTCTCTGGATTTAACTAAACAAAAAGAAAAATTCCAATTGATTTTATAGACTAACAAAATAACACGTAATTACAAATAATACTCCTTACAATAGGTTTTGGAAATACGCGTTTCATGCTTGCCCTGTGTAAGTGTTCACGATGCGTTCGCTTCAATATCTCGTACTCGCTGCCAGTTAAGCAAGGTAAACAAAGATTGCAATAATCGCTATTACAGAATCTGTTGCAACCGTGTTTAGTGCAAATGTTTAAATTTGTAGCTACGTTCTTTGCTGAAGTTATCATTTCTTGAACATCGTGAGACCTACAATAATTAAAAATAAATAAGAAAATTTTTGTAGCTTTAGGTTAAAGCTTTTATGCCGACTTCCCCAAGTAAACATATATAGCGATTGTATATTTTCTGGTAGTTTTTGCTAAAAACGTAATCGGATCGTAAAAATTTCTTACAACCAATGCGGCGGTATTTATCATATTTGCCGTTTGCATAACATAGCGAAAGGAGCACCAGGTAGCTGCACAGTTGTTCTCGTTTAAAATACCATATTTTCAAAGCAGTAACAGTTGAACTCTGCTATTGAATGCCTTTCTGTAGGGGCCGTAGTTTTTCAAATTTTCGTTTACAGGACTTATGAAACTCATACCGGAGATGTCACGCTGTTGATTCGAAGAAGACTACGCCACATGTGCCATGGCCACGAAATTAAACAAGATCCTATCTCTTAGTTTCTTATAACTAATTTAATGACAATTATTATTATGTAATATTATATAATTGCAAACAGACACCCAAAAGCAGGCAAGTTTAAATGCGTTTTTATCGAAACAGTTAAAAGTATGCATTTTTGATGAACTATGGCGTTTTTTCAACATCTCAACCATACTTTAGGTGTAAACATTTGTCTGAAAACGATCAATTATTACGTTGTCCCATAAGATTCCGCCCCTCTTAATGCGAAATCAATGGACGATATTTGATATGTAAAGTTGGTTAACGGTGTTATATACGAACCGTTCCCGTCTATTGCCTTCTTCCATCTCTCAGAAAGCCTCGTTACGCTCGCTTTTCAAAATAGTTAAGATTTACTCGCAAAATATTCATCGGGGTGTGTTTTTAGTTCGCTTTTGAATTTGACATTTATCACGGAGGGAATTTTTTAACGAGACAAACAACTAATAATCGTATGGGGTAAGGTCTAGGAAACATTGAAGGTGAGACAGAAGATCCAAAGTACTGTAAGATTCTCTGTTCTATGGCCAACGCAAGACTCCGTGTCACGATCACAACATTTCGTCGGTTGGCCAACTTTTTCCGTTTTTCGACTATGGCGACTATCATAAATGGACAATAGTTAAGCCTGCATGTTTAAAAACAGTGCCGGCTCGAGGTCATACATAGCGTGGCGGGGAAAAGCTTATGGAACACCCTAATGCTTTCGGCAATATCGGCAATTTCCCATAAACAACCTGGTATATTTTAATTAGATTCTTAAGGAATTTTTAAGAAAATTAGTATACGATAATCTACGATATATATTAAGTGTTATTTATTTAGATTTCGTATTGTTATACGTACCTTTCACTAAGCGTTCCTCTCACTAGCGAGCTGACCCCCACTAAACTGAAGGCACTATAGAGAATCTGTTCATAAAGTAAAGCGTTTGGTTTGAAATGGCCTGACGACAGGTTCGGTGACATATTGGCTTCCATTAAATATACACGAAGATCTTCATCGATAATGAAATCAAATCGCATCAGCTCAAAGAAGTTTAAATTTTTGTAAGAACGCAATATACCAGCAATTTGTTGTTCTTTAGCCAAAACCGTTTCACGTATTATACCTTCGACTTGTAACCAAATTATTGAAGGATCCGAATACTGATCGCGTACATACGCATCGAAACTATCGCGCATATTACCGTCCAGGTGTTCATAATATTTGACCAACGAAGGTACTTGCCATGTAGGTAAATAATCATCACCTACTACATAACTATCAATATTCGAGGCGTTAAACGGATAATATTTCACGGAACAATAACGAAACAATACATCTCCAGTGTAGATATATAAACGTAAAGGATCAATTCCGGTAACTATTACGTAAACGCCAATATCAAATTTATAACCATCAACTAAAAATGGCTTTTGTATGAATTCTTGCACAAAAGTATCGTTTGACTGTAAATTAATATCCTTTACAGGACGTATTAGAATATGGCGATGCTCGTTATGTTTTTGTACAAATAAAGCATTCGGACTCCTTTGAGCGTAATTTAAAAAATCTTCCCTTTGGCTAGGCAAACGAAATGCTTTTGGTAGAAAGGTTAATTCAGTGGTGGACAAGTCGACCTTGTTGGTAATGAATCCACAACCGGGAACGTGATTAACTATTTGCTGATTGGTTAAATCTTTTAATCGATTGGTCATTTTAAAAAATGGATAGTCGTGAGCCCATAGGAGATCCCATTCATTCTGTAATGCAATACGTTTATAACCGAGCCTTTGCAGCACCTTCGCCACGTGTAATAAATGTTCTTCATTAGGACTTTTTCCATATACTGCATAAGTAGGCACGGACTCTGGCAAAATGAATTCATTTGTGGCCCAATCCCAATAAGTGCAATTCGGAGGCAATAATTCGACTACCAAAGCAGTTAATACAACTGTTAATAAAAATATAAATACCGAATGGGCGGGAATAGTAGAAGTTACAATTTTAGGCTAAAAAATTTAAAAAAGGAAAATAATAATAATGATATAAAACTTTGAAAACTAAAAATGATAATAAACTTTTATTTTTTTTTTTTAATGTTGAAAATGTAACACAAAACTAGACAATACAAACCAGTTGACAGAAAAACTTACACTAATTTTATGTTTTTCTACTTCTCTGAATTCAGCATCACCCACTTGCATCTTAAATTGATTCACTATTAAAAACTAATTTAAATAAATACTGCAAACATACATTTAAGATTAAATTAAAAAAAAATCCACAATCCCTCTATCTACGGCGGCCCTAAAAACAGCTGCAAAGCCAAAGTTGCTTTGCAAATTTCGCATAGTGTTACCAAGTCAATAGTTGGAAATAGTAGTGAGTTCGGCCATGGAGGGTTTATTTACTTATTTTCAACTTTTTAAGAAAAAAAGAATTGAACAATGTTGCGCTTTTAGTCACTTTCATTAAATTGCTGTGTACATTTCCACAACAACAAAAAAATCATAATAACAATGAAAACACGAGAAATACATGTAAGCAAATTTACTTTCTGGAAGTCTTGATGCATTTTTAGAAGTATCATAAACAAAATGCCACTGGTAGTAATTATTCGCTTTGGATAGTTTTAGAAAACGAGTAAAAATATAAAAGTGATTACCAGCGTTGATAACAGAGTAACGATAGCATTATTAATCGGCTGCGGACTTTCTAAAAAATATTTCCCAAGAAAAAGTAAGGATTACTTGTTTCGCCGTTAACATCTCGAAAATACAATTTATAATGCTTTATGTGCGTATGATTCCTATTACAGTAACCCCTATGGAGCATTTAAATCAGATCATTGCACATGACATGATTCGCAAGGGCAAGAGTCACTGTACACTTAATAATCTTTCATCCGCAACAAAAAACAAAAAGTGCTTCTAATTTTATTTTTCTTTTAAATCGTTTTGATATCAAAGACCATTTCTGCTTATGCTAGTCAATGGAGTAAATCGTTTTGTTAATGCGAAGGTAATTTTTTTCTCTATTGATTTTATAAAAGCTATCGAATCAATCAATTATTCACTTTATTAGGTAGTTATAATAGGAAACCAACCAAACCAAAATTTCGGTAAAAAATTGGAACTTGATTCATATACTCTGGTCGCACAAAGCTTAGAAATTTCCTCCTCAGACCTATTGAATGAGAATTATTTTAAACAAACCCAATTGCGAAAAATTCATCAAAAATTCTAAAATTTCTATTTAACACCTCAAAAACTTATTTTCTTATAAAATAAAAAGGGGAACTCCACATGTGACAATTATATAAAATAAAGATAGACAAAATTTTTCACCATTGAAAGAGCGCAAAACCTATTACAGTATATTTTAGGAAATATTCCGCAATTTGGTCACAAAGAATACTAGCCAAAATAAGGCGCTTGAGGGAAAAGCTGACAATATTTCTTTCACCTGCTCTATGTTTTATAAACTCGAGGGAATTATCAAGTTTCCAAGAGTTTGAAGACTTCTCACGTATCCGGATAATTGAAATGACTAACTGAATGACAGTAAGTGCTTCCGAAGTTAACATTTTTCCAATGAAAACGATTTTTCATAGGAAAAATATATAAAACATAGCAAATCTTATTAACATAAAACATATTCTTGTCGATTAAATGTAAAGCAACAATAAAATAAATCTGCAAAGAAACGGAGGGAAATGTTACGCCAAAACCTAGCAACAAAAAGCAAGTGAAAATAGAGGGAACTTGCAGAAGCCCATTCAGAAAATGGCACCTCAGTGTATATTATTTTATAAAATACTTAGCACTTGGTTAGTGATGTTTCCGTTGCTCTCTATAGACAATTCGGACAAAGAATTCCTCAAAAGCGATATAGAATTCGTGCTCAGTTAGTAGCATTTCTAGATTAACTTCATTTTCTCCAAGCTTATTATTTCTTCAGTGTTAAATAAAGAAGATTCTACTTCTCTTGTTGACGTAAAATAATTTCTTCTATACACTTTTTAATAAGACCGGCTTTTTTCTAGTTCCCGTTTTTTCCCACAAGTTTTTCCATGCCTTCTATAAATTTCTTTCTTCTCTTCTTTTACAATAACACATGTTTTTTGCCCATAAACTAACACTTGACATTATTTTTATTAAGCTATGAAGAATTCAAACGGTTTTATATAGAATTGAATCCGATTTGTATTGGTATTGAGAATTTTATTTCAAGAGCGACAAAAATTACAGAAAACTTTTGATGTATGGTACGTGACGTCTTGTTTGATCATAAAACAAGGAGAGTTTTTACATTTCTCTAAATTTGCCTAATTCTCGACAGGTATGTTTTTGTCTCACTTTATACAGAATTCAGATAAAAAATTGAAGAATAACGACGTAGGACTCATTCAGACTTGACGTTTTTAACTTATATGCATTTTCACAAAACATAAGGACAGAAATGCTTTTCTTATTTCGATTGACATGATTGCTTTTATCGGTAAAGCTTGCTAAAACTTAGCATCATTTACGTAAGTATCTAGAATTACTGAATATGGACACTGAGCTCCATAGAGATTGCGACAAAAATACCATTAATATTCATTTCATATCTTTCAAAGTAAGCCTCTCGTGATATTCTACGCCATCGTTGAAAGAGAGAGGGAGAGATCTCATTATGCGAAACGCGCTGATAGTATTTAGGTTTGAAAATTCCCCTTAAGCTTACGATTTCAACTTTGTATTACGCAATATTGAAAAGTTTTGACGTTTAGGTTAAGAAATAGCAAATTTGCATATACAGTTACTTTGTTAATGATTGTGTTTTGCCGGTAAGTACATGGAAAATTTAATAGACTTTGTGCTGCAGTCAGTATTTACCACTTTTCTTTTAGTAGAAATTGTTTGTCATTAAAGGCCTGACACTATGAGGCGTTGTTTACTTTTTCGGGTTAACAATTTCCAACTGGTCAACGCAATGGACAATCGCGCTACCGTACTCTTTTACAAGAAAATATAAACGAAAATATGTGGGTTTAGGACGAAAAATAAAAAAATCAAACTAAAAATAAACAACAGATTTATAAAAAATATTTTGATTATTATTAATTTAGCCAGAGAATAAATTCTAAGACTAAAGTCTTAAAAGCACTAGCATCTAAGGCTTTCGGCTTTAAATATAAAAAATAGTAATAAGAAAGTTAATAGGAGAGTATACAAGCTTATTTATTGTGATGAAGAAGATTGATTAGATATATGTAGATATATGTATATTTTTTATACATTTTCATTAGTGATGAATATGGTAGATAGCCCAGACGGAATTTTATAAACTCGTAGTTTCAGTAAAAAGCTTATAATTTTATATACTCTGTTTTTCTAGTACAAAAATCGTAGCTTTACTTTCTAATATGCTTAATTTCTTTGTTAGCTTAAACACAATTAGCGAACCATCATCCTTCTTCTAATGAAACTTAGATTTCAAAATTACAATCAAAACTGTCATGAAAATTTTTTCTATCTTTCAAGACGCTTAAGTCAGCTAAGGACCCATTACTGTCAGTACTCTACACTTTAATTAGGAAGACATGTACGAAAGATGTTTTCATATTGAAGCGAATTGTAGATACGTATCATTTCAAGCAATTATAATAGAATCACAGACTATATTTTTGATTTGGTCAGTTGGACGATCAAAAGTGATTTCCAAATTGACTTTTTGATTCATCTTAGCAAGTATTTCTATCAAATATTATATCAATAACTCGTGTAACATGTAAGCAGTTGTTTATTATTGACTACAGCCTCGCATGAAAGGGTCCTCGTAAAGATGTGTAATTAATGCACAGTATCTACGTTTTTGTTTTTACTGTTAGTGTTGTTGCAAAAGTCGACTACTATTACTATGATCAAACCATGATCTACCATGATCTATAGCTGTTAATTAAGTATGCATAGGCTAATCCTATGCTATCTACATGAATTCTTATAAGCTTTCCTCAACAGACAACCCATCGGAAAACAAAATTGTTGGCTTCTCTAGAGCACATTTATAGCCGTCACAAATAGAAGATCTAATCTAGTACATTTGCATTGTAATAAAATGAAAGTAAGTAGTAAAAAAAAAATTTGAAAATTAATAATTCAATAATAATCATTTGTACGCACGTACGTATTATCGTTTTCTTTTTATGTTTTTTCTGTTCATCGCTAAAAAAGGAAGAAAATAAGTTTGCGACCATCCAGCAATATGGCTACGAAACGTATATATCGCAGGCAGGAAGATGAACTTAACAGACGAAAAGCGGCCCGTTTGCGTTTTCAGAATTTAATACGGAGTGTAGCCTGGAATCGTATTTGGTTAGTAGATGTAGGCGATCAAAAATTATCACTAAATGTTAAAAAAAATATCAATATGCTAGTGCGAACTCGCCGTAAGATTGGTTTATTAACAATAGCTGTAAGTTACAAGAGTTTTTAAAGTAATATCCGAGCTCTCTAAAAAGTATTTTTACATATAATTAGGAGAAGTCGCTGATAAGAACGCATCATTCTCTACGTAGCAATGAGGAGCGTAAAAGTCTGGTAAAGTTAATAGCCGGACTAACATGCTTTTCAAAAATATCACCGGTAAAGCAATAAGTAAATTTCCACCCGTAACTTTTTGTAATCTATTAATTTGAATTGCAGAAAGTACGAGCTCGTTTATGTAAAGTAATAAAATTTATGGTAATTGGGCCAGGACGTACTTTAATCAGAGAAGGGGATCCTCCATCTGTAGTGTATTTTATATTAACGGGTGAAGTGGAAGTCAGGAAAAAATTTTATGATCATGTAATATATTAATAAGAAAATTAAAAGAAAAAGGAATAAAATTATTTTTTGTCTCATTCACAGATAGTCGGTAAATGGGTGAATAGAATTCAGATGCTAATCGGTCCTGGCGAATGTGTGGGGGACGTAGAATTGATTGAAGGATGTTTAAGAACACAAACACTGACCACCACTGGTTAGTTTTTCATTTAGAAAACAATGCATTTTACCATAAATTTTTTCTACGTTTTGTAAAATTATTTTCCGGCTATCGGTAGCTCAATCTTCTCTAAGTAATTGTTGATTATTTGTTCATTATTTTGTGTTCGCGCTTCTTTCGTTATCCGTCATAATTACTATTCGCTAGAATTACACAATCTACTTTTCGGTGGAGATTTTTCTTCTTGCGTTTTCTCGTATACTTGATACGCATATTGTAGTCTTTATTCTCATGATATTATTCGCAACTATATATATTATTAGCTTATCTTTCAAAATATTATATATAAAAAGATAAGGCTGCATTTGGAGTCATTTGCATAAAGCAGCATATAAATAATTGTCCACTGTATATACACAATTGTCTGATCTTAGTTTATTAAAACTTTCTAAAGATTGATTCCAGCCAACCGCTTGTTTCATTTCTCCAATTTTTTTGGGATAGCCTGTCTTTATTTAAATCATTGTTATATAAAGACTCGTAAGTGTAAAAACGTACCAGTAATGTTTGTAAAACAATATCTGGTGGCATGCGGCCAATAAAAATAACGAAAAGAATAAAAAAAAGTCGAAGATTTCCCCTTCCATCCCAAATATAAAGCTGGTGAAAAAAGGTCAATTTCCCACTGTTTACAGATTTATATTAACTCATAAATTAGGTTTATTACTAGCATAGAAACCACATCGATCGCTTTTACGAACAAAATTCAGAAAAATGGCGAATTTATCCCTTCCATAATATCCCTTTTAAACAGGTTTGAAGCCTTCAAAGCATATCGCTTTGCGTGTCCGAGAAGGTAAAAATCTCAATTCTACGTGAGTAAGGCTATGAAATTTCAGAGTTTGGAAGATTTTCTAAACTTTTCCAAATCCTTTACCTCATAGTTACTGGTATTGATTAATTTAAGTTTTTAATCGCAAATCGTCATTTGGTAACTACTTTTAGATTGTTTCGCTTGTTCATTTTTGCTACAAGTTGATACAATTTAGCTAGATAATTATGTAATAATATATGGACAGGTAAGTCCCGAAAGTCGCCTTGCATGTAAACTGTGTTTGTAGAATTTCTCTACATGTGTCAAGAAAAAATTTTATTTTCAGATGTCGTTGAATTATTGGTCGTTTTCGAAGAGGACTTCAATGCAATACTTCGGAAGGAAATGACAAAACATTGGAATGAACGTAAAGCTGCATTAATGTGCTTAGATTATTTTAAAAGCTTCACTAGAGAGCAGGTAAGCAAGACATAAGGTTAAAGTAATTGAAACTACCGCTATGAAACCAATCGCAGATCATTGATACCTGTAAAGTGAGCTTAGTAAGACAATTTGAGCCACTTGAGACCATATATTACGAGGACAAGGGACAAGCTAGTTACGTTCACTTTGTAATCAGCGGCGAATGTATGATCTTACAATGTTTAAAAATGCGCGTAAGTTGCATACAGTGCTTTAATTAGATATAATTTATATTTATATATACGAAAAATGTAGGTTACAAAAAAGGATAAATCAAAACATTATGAATTGATTGACATAGTCAACGCAACGGGAGCTGGCTCAATTTTCGCTGTATCCAGCAGTCGAGAAGTGATGAGAGTAGATAGTCGAATCGACGTTGCGGTTCATGGAAATATTTACGATATTGATGAATTACTCGAATCCGATGAAAAAGCATCAGCTGTAGAGGTAAATATTCTTATTTTCCCCTGTGTACGTAAATTGTTTATGGGATTTAACTCGGAACTCTAATACCTGTCATATAAACTGAAAAAATTTGTCCATGACCTCTTACTACGTGCTTATAATATATGTGCATTCTATCGAAAGCTGATCGAAAATTTAAGAAAAACGTTTAGTATTAGAAAGTGAAATAAAAGTGCCTGAGAATAGTCTTCATAATTTTTTTTCGACATTTATCGCAATCACATTCTGTGAAATAAGACTTCGAATCGATGAGAAAAAAACACTTCGAACATTATTCGGAAAAAGCCCTGGATTTACCAGAGAAATGTAAGTCCTTTCGATAATATAAAGGAAAGAAGGTCTTCTTAAGAAATAATCGGCCGCGATTAAACCAATCTACCTATCTAAAATTGTTGAAATACATTTCATGTAAAATAGCTTTCCTTTAACATTCTATTAGGTTCATAAAGTTGATCTAAGAACGATAGAAGCCAAATGCCAAGCCTTAAGAATACCAGTTAAAGAAGCATTATCCACGTCTTCTTCATATGAATCTTGGTCGATTGAAGGGGAACTTGAAGAGAATTACGAAAATGAAGAAGAATTTGAATACGAAGAGGCACGCCTTAGAAAAACTCGAAAATCTAACAAGCTGAGAAAGAAATTTTCTCGAAGACATCGCGTCACCAGTATGTTTGACAGAGAAGAGCGCGAGGAAGAAGATCAAGAAACAGTAGAAGACGGGGAAGAAGAAGCCGAAGATGAATCTTTAACGATAGCTTCACGTTCTATAGAAACATCAAATCTTCCTCCATCTATTCTAACATCTGCTGCAGCGTCTACTCCATCATCTAGTGAAACACAACAATTGAAAACAAAGGCACTTCAACGTCATCATCATTATCGACGCAAAAAGCAAAAACACAGACAAAGTGAAGTTGAAGAAATTGACCCTCATCGTGAGAGTTCTGTGCACATTTCCGATATAGACACATCTCTTGAATCTGATGAGTCGTATCAATATTGGATACCATATCAAAAGGTAAATTTTTCTAGCATTTCACTAATTATATTTTAAATCACTTTTCCTCCTGTTTAAATAATAGCCTGCTCCCGTCCGAGAGAATCATTTTATTGATGTCGGCTCTTTAACATTTGGCGGTATTTTCGGGTTGGGTGAGATATCGGAACATCGAGTAATCATGGCACGCACTACTGTACAGTGCTTGCTAATACCACGGTTTTGGCTTTTTGAGAAAGAGCAATGCCCCGGTAACATTTGGCAACGTAGACGATTTTATTTAGATTCAACAATACCGTCTCGGGACACATTGTTTAAGGATTTTCTGACCACACTTCAATGGCAAAAATTCAAAGCGGATGTTTTAGAAGAGTACGTTGGTCCTAATTCACCCGCAAATGCAACGCAAACTCAGGATGTACCAATTATTTGCCGTATTGTTGAAGCTAGCGATGAATAAGTGGATTCAAAAAAAACCACATTAAAAATTTTAGTTAACTTTTTTCCAGAAATTTACCATCTTTTTTAAATCTTTCATAAAAAAGATTAGTGAAGATAGATAAAATTAATGTGATCCAATCGCAAAGTGATTACCATTTCGTTTCACATACATATCCAAGGTGATTTGCTTTAATGAAAGATTCTATAATTTAATTCCATTCGCATGTACAATAAATTTTTGGATGATTTTTTATTTATTTTTTTTTTAAAGGACTGTAAATGAAAAATGTGAATGTCCAGTAACGTTATGGGCTTTTATCGTAAAATCTTCTTAAAGTTTCAGGATGTCAAAACAAAAAGGACGAAAACAGTTGAAAAAAAAGAGGCCGACCACGAGATGATTGAAAGCGATCTAATGATGATGCAGAGATGGGATATAATTCGAAAGACGATGATCAAAAATGATTTGATGATCATGAAAAGATAATAGACTCTCTCGATTCGATGATGTACAAGTTGTAACAGTCAAAACAGTATCGTCCATTCTGGAGCAAAAGATTAATCCCAACCTATGGTTGTGTAGAATGTGTAAATTTATAAAGTTATAAAAACTGTTAAAAATATAATCAGGGCGAACGAAAATTACGACTTGCTTAAAAGAGAAGTTAGTTACTTAAAAAGAGAAGTCAGCAGATTTAATGAAGGCAGTTATAGATACTAAAAATTTGCAAAAGAAAGTCTCGAAAGTTATCGAATTTACTGCAAATAAACTCAAAAGACTCTTTTATGTATGGCTTACGTCACATATATCAAATGGCACACGTCCAACCATCTTTGAAAAAGTTTTAAAGATCATGAAATGATAAATTTGATAGAAAAGCGGGTTTTGACTATATCTAGCTTAATCCCAAGACTTGTCTTTACATGTTTTTCATGCATTATATAATTAGGAACAACACGGAAGCCGTCTTTGGGAGGATATTTGATAGAGACAATTTCTCTGTCTAGCCGAGCTATTGTCAGAAAAAATCACAAAGTTCTTGATACTACTTGATATGGCAAGATGAACAACCCGTCTGAAGGCCAGAGGTTCAACAAAAGTAGATGAAAGCTTTTCCAGAATTTTGAATTTTCCGAATAATTCCAATGAGTACTTGAGCTACGCGAAACCCGATCTACCCAGATCAACCAAGCCATCTGTGGTATAAATTGAGAAACATTATTTTGATAAAAACGAAATCTTTCCCGACATGCAGTACGAACCCCAAACTTGTGCCGACTATAAATGCAAAAGCATTAGGATCTATCGAACATATACTTTGTACAAAACTGCAGGCTGAATTTATCAAAAATACGAAACTTTATACACACAAATGCATAACTAAATTTCCCGGCAAAGAAAGTAATAAGGTGCACTGTAGGTGGTGCGACTATTTCCACATATTGCATTTATGGATACTGAACCAAAGGAAAAAGAATTCCTTCAACGGCATACATTATTTATGGTGCTGATAACAACTGAATGCGAACATGCATACACATGCATAGACAAATTTCCAGGAAGGAAAACCAAAATAGAATAAAGCGCACTCTGGATGGTGTGACTATTTCGCCATATTGAATTTTAAACCACTCAAACACCTAATAATCTTTTTCCATTTGCATTCTTATTACCAGTATTTCGATTCACGTAAATACTCCGCTGAAAGCGGAGTAAGAATCAATGTTATGGCGCATTATTTATTTATTTATTTATTTATTTATTTATTCCACTTATACAAGAAACTCAATTAAAACAAAATGGCAGTCGAGTTCAATTGACTCTTAAGTAAATCTTAAAATTATTTAATAATAAAACTTAGTATAACTACAATAAAACAAATAAGGAGGAAAAAAAAAAAGAAAGAAAAAAAAAAAAAGCATGTACACAATTAGCATAGAGCCACGCCCACAACCAATACAGGACCAAATTGCAAGTGAACCCCTAAGCCATCGCAAACATGCATAAGCTTGGCAACCGATAAATGTTAACAACAAATTAATTTTCGACTCATAATGACAAAATCTAAGGTTAAATCAGTTTAAGTACGACATAGGTAAATCGCGCTTGTTGAGCAATATTGCTTTAATAGACTTTAAAGAGTCCGTTAATGAGAATAGATGATAGACATCATTTAGGTTCTTGCAAACAACTCTGAGCGGGTTAAACAGTTCAAAGTTATATTTGCATTGACTAAGCTTTATCAACATAAAGTACCTAGAGAAGCGGTTAGGGACATTAAAGCAAATCTCACGAAGTAATGCGGGCGAATCAATTGCACCATTTATTAATTTGATTAGGAAGGAAACCCCAAGAACAAATCTACGTTTCTCGAGTGACGGTAAGGATAACAGAAGCAACCTATTTTCATAGGGTGGAAGAAGGGAAATCGGGTCCCAACCCAAATTCCTAAGTGCAAACAGCAAGAATTGCTTTTGTATAGATTCAATTGAACCAACGTAGCATCTATATGAAGGAGACCACACAACAGAGGCATACTCAAGAATAGGTCTAACCAAACACGTGTAAAGCGTTTTAGTAATATAAGGATCATCAAGCTCTTTTGACCACCTCTTTATAAAACCAAGAGCGGACCTAGCTTTGCTTAACGAGGACTCAATATGCAAATTGAAACGTAACCTATAATCGAATAGAACGCCTAAATCAATGAACGAATCGACGTCTTCCAACCTGTGCGAATCAATGAAGTATTGGGTACTAAACGACTTCCTTCTTAAGAAAGAAAGCTTCTTACATTTATTTAGATTTAGCTTCAGAAGATTGAGGGAGCACCATGCAACCAAATTGTTCAAATCACTTTGAAGATGATGTGATTGCGATTCTACGGAAAAAGAAGTAAACAGTTTCACATCATCAGCATACATTAAAATCTTACTGAATTTAATCACGGAGGGCAAATCATTGATGTAAAGATTAAATAAAATAGGTCCCAAGTGGCTACCTTGAGGTACGCCAGACGTCACGGGAAATTCATCCGAGGTAATGAGGTTAAACAAAACCCTGAATGATCTACCATACAGATAAGAGCTTAACCATTCAACTAAGAAGAGAGGAAAGCCAGAGGTCTGGATTTTAAATCTAAGAAGTCTTTGATTAACCATATCAAACGCCTTGCTAAAGTCAGTGTAAATGACATCAGTGCGAGAACCACTAGAAAAAGCCTTGAAAACATGAGAAGTAAACTCCAACAGATTGGTCACCGTAGATCTTCCCTTTCGAAAACCATGCTGGAAAGGAGAAATATACAATTTCATGGAAAAGGCTATATGCTGAGCCACAATTCGCTCGAACAGTTTAGGTAAGACACTCAACTTGGCGATGCCTCTGTAGTTCTCTACAAGTTGCCTACTACCACTTTTGTGAATAGGAATAAGGAAAGAAGTCTTCCAACACAAAGGGAAAACACCTAAATTCAAAGACTTATTAAAAATCTTTGAGATAACATCACAAAGCTCGCCAGCACAAGATATAAGTACACATGAGGGGATGCCATCGGGTCCAGGCGAACAATTATATTTCAGAGAGTTCAATCCTTCAAAAACGTCATTTTCCGATATAACAAAGTTAGGAATTGAAACCGAATTAGAAATCGAATATGGATAATTTTCCGATAAATCAAAATTGGCAGTTGAAAAGTTCTGTCGGAAGTATTCCGCAAATAGATTTGAGGATTCAAAATCATCCGAGGACTCGGAGCCATTAAAAGACACAAACGACGGGTTTATGGTTTATTATAACCGACAAAAAAGTCAAAATTGTATTTTTTCAAGTACTTTATGACCACACTTAAAAAGTATACAACGAGAAAAACTGTGACTATAAAACGCAGAGGGAAATTTACAGAAACTGCTTGAAGGTAAGTTCGCCAACATATCTATCCTGTATATGCAGACCAAAAATAAATAAAAATAACCAAACAACCAAGTCGATCAGTGTGCAAAAAAATTTATATAAATTATTTAACATAAAAAATAAAAAAATGGAATCAAACAACAACACAACATCATCAACAATACTATCGTCATCAGTGCAAAACGAGAATCAATCACACAAGAAAGTTACGATTCTCAGATGACAATCGACTCTGTCATCCTTTTACCTTTTCAAACTCCCGAAATTATTTCAATTTCTGACGACAAAGAAGACGGTCTGGAAATTCTTTTATCAACGCAATATTCTCTAGTATCGTCTACTCATTTTTCTTAAAGGTCGGAGTTTAATTGGGCAACCGTTTCCCAATCAATCTTCATGGATAATAATCTAATGGGGCAGTTGCTTCAAAGTGGGACTGTCGACTACGACCCCAGAGATGAATCTGAAGCACATTCTATTGAGGTTATAAGTTATGATTATTATTTCAATGATAGATTCGACAATGAACTTTTGAATATTAATTTACCAACAGTTACTACGGACCAGAACAGACTTTTAGATGACAGTTTCGATAGTGAAATTCTTGAGATTAATTTGGAGGACTTAATAAAATAAAGCATTAAACAAATAAATAACAATTAAAGATAACTAGAGCGATTATGATGTGAATGTGAGCTGCGTTTAGTTTATAAAAATAAATTATGAACTAAATTTTGGTCAGTTTCTTCAAAAGAAGTACGTGACCTATTTTGGCAAAAAAGGGACAAAGAAACAAAGAAATGGTAAGAAATAAGAAACATAGGAAACATTTTTCTAATAATTGTTTTAAAAATCTCATAATTTTTCTTAAATATCTTTAATAGAGCTTTCTGCAGACTCTCAATGACACTTGGAAAACATCAGGGCAAGGCTATAAAAACATCGATGAGTTATCAATTGGCACAGCCTATAAAATAATTAAATGTACAGCAAAAGCAACGCAATTTGGGGAAAAAATTGCCCTTTCTTTGGAATCACCTGAGGGGAATTTACAATGAATATTTCTATGGAAGCGTCTTAGTCAAGTATTACCGTCTAAACATTCG